AATGAATTCATTCTTGTGTCTTTTCAAATAGTAAACGCTGCTCAAGCATCCTAACAATTAATCTATCAGTTCCTGCATGGTATTTCTTGATTATGCACATGCATTCTCGACCTTCCAACCTGCAGCTCAGATGAGGTGGATATCGTTGTGACATCCAAATAATTGAACCAAGTACTAGCTGAGACACTAACGTATACCTTTTTTCACTGAATATGTCACTTACCGTGTAATCAAATTCTCACCGTCACTCAACTCACTGAAATCTTCTCTCATGTCTTACAACCACAACTTTAATTTCTATGTGGAATAGCCTGTTTACTTCATTTGTCACTTGAGCTATTCAGTCACACATCTACACTGAGTAGTTGTCAGTTGAAGGGCTATTTCCTTGAGGCGAAACAGTGAAGTGGTAATTTGGTTAAGAAAGACACCTCTGGCATTTCTGTTAGGAGTACTTTAAAACAGCATATGGCACTGGCTACTATATTACAAACAGTGCCCTAAGTATAACGTGGAATTATCAGTGTGTTGAAAGGTCAGCTACACCTGGGATTCCCATGGAGTCACCTTTTCATCAAGTACTAACTGGGCCCTACATTGCTTACCTTCGGTGACTGGAAGAGAGCCGTTTTTTCAACGTATTATGGTTGCTATGAATGTCTGCTGCTTTCTAGATGACAAGGGTTTGAACACAATTTATTGTGGTTTATTATGATATCAGTTATAATCACACGACTTCGAAGCTTGAGTTCTATGGGTTTTCTTTGTTCTCTCCTATCTGTTGTAGAGGTAGTAGAATTTTGTAGATGTATGAATTGGGTGCTGAATCATTCCCATTACAAGTGTCCGCATTTTATTCGATAAATAGAGCTTCCACTATCAACCCCTCTCATCCTATTGTATGGTTGTATGTAACTGCATGTAATGCTAACCCATATGTCTGGAAAATTCCAATACAACTACAACAGATAGATGAGAACAAAAAAAACATAAAACTCAAATTTCCAAGTCATGTGATTATCATGGATATGATTATGAGCAATAAGTTGTTATATATGTCCAAACCAAGTTCACTTTAACAGATTGAAAAAAATTGGGCATTGGGTATAAATCATATTAATAATAAAGGTTTTTGTATTTCTCAATGAACGAAAAACAAACAAAACGATATATTTATCAAAGTATTATTATAAAACCAGAATTGACAAAATTTTAGCTTGTTTACAACAACTTAGTCATCGTTCCTCAGCATGGGGCATTTCTGCGTTGTCCAGTCAGATAATAATACCAGGTGTAGACTGTTGCATTCGATAATTGTATAAAATTATAGAAGCAGCGCGTGCTTACATAGCGAAATTGCTTATCACATCTGTGTTGAATGTGTCACTTCATGAGGAAGGGGAAGGTTGTAACCAGGTAAAATTATGTTTTAGTCCAGCGTTCCTTTCCAGTTAATTTGGATTCCATTTCGTATGATGTACTTCTGATGGTCTTAGAAGTTCTTTGTGATTTCTGAAATTTATCTGGATTATATCAATATTGTCAAAGTCAATTTTGTGGCCGGATTCTTTGGTGTGTACACTTACGGCTGATGATTTTTTTCTAGCTCAACTGGATTTCCTAGTGGCCGAACAGATGCTCTATGGTGTTAATTTCTCGTGATTTTGAATTCTCGAGATGTTCGTCTGATATATATTGCATCACATTCCAAGCATTTTATTTTATAGACACAATTAGATAGAGAATCTTTAGGGATTTGGTGTTTTCTATGGGCAAGGTTGTTTCGCAGTGTAATTGATGTTTTGAAAAACTCTGATGTCTAGCTCATTGAATACTCGCCTTATATCGTCTGACGCCTTCGCTCTATATGGAATGACAACTGTTGAGGTCCGTCTTTTCGGAACACGTTTTCGACCATACTTAATGTCAGTGTTGATTTTGTTGATAAAGTTCTTTGGGTAGTTGTTTCGCTTGGGAGTCTCAGTAATGTTTGATATTTCTTCTTCTTTCTCTTTCTCATCCGTTTACATCACAGAATGTGCTCGTCTAAAAATACTTGAAATAACTGATACTTTTCACTGATGGGTTTTGATGATCCGAATCCTAAATATTTATTGCATTGGGTTTCCTTCCTGTATACAGATATATATCAAAATGGATTTTTTCCGTCCTCTTAACTAGGAAGTCTAGAAATGGTAGTTCAACGACGTATTTTGAGATGTTGTATGTCGGTGAGTTGGTGAAATCTACTACTGGTCTTAATGGAACTGTTGGTTTATGTAACTTTGGTTGACCGTAGAATCTTGAAGGTACATTAGGTTTTGGTTTCAGTTTAAACCACAGAGAATTTCCAATTTTGGGTTTCACTTCTTGAAGGAGTCTGTTTGTATTTAGTTTCATTTTGTTGAATTCCACAGATATCTTCCTTTCTTCAATGAGTAAGTATGTTCCTTCAGATAGGTGTTCAATTGCCTTCTTTTCATAATCAGTCCTGTTCGTTATCACAGTGACGTTTCCCTTGTCTTCTTCACTTATAAGGATGCTTATGTCTTTCTTCAAATTTCTTGGGGATTCATATTCTTGTTTGGTGAGATTAGATGGTATGTTTCGTTGTTTTAGGAATACATGTGGAATCTTTTGGCTTACACAGTGTGATTCTTCATCGGTGAACTGTTGTAGAGCAGGTTCGATCATATGTGCTGAGATTTTGTAAATTCTGGTTTAATAATAACACTTTGATTTAGCTATTAACAGCAATAAATAGCGAAACGTCAGTAAAAACAGCAATATCGTTTTGTTTTTCATTCATTGGGAAACACAAAAAATCTTTATTATAACAATAAATTGCGTTCGAAACCTTTTCATCCAATACATGATGCTGTTTCACTTTATGATATATCTAATAAGAAATTAATGTAGACGTAAACGGATTTCATTTTGCCTACTTCAGTGATTACTTCAACCTCCAGGAGTAGGACACAATTGAACTCTTTGCACTAACCTACTTTCAACGACAGGATTGAAAATTTTAGGAGTCAGCTAACCTAAATATAACTCCGACTCCTAAATGAAGGTTAGTCACAGCGTACTATGAATCGTCTCAGGATACAATTAGTAAAATGGTAATTGTTAGAGTCAGTCCTCAAAAACTGTTTGTCATATTGATAGTTTCTTAAGCACGATGACTTATTCCCAATAAGTCAGAAGTATGTACCACAACAGATAAATATGGAGTCATGCGACATAATACTACACATCTGATAAATTTTATTTACATGGGCCGACGACTTGACGACTCATCAGTTTAGAGAGGATAGAGATCCTTGTGACAGCAACAACTACTAAATAATGTGGTCAAAATGCCTGTTTTAGGTCCAATAGCCTCTACAGTTCTATCATCTTCCTCTCTTAACTTTGTTAAAGTGAATTTCGAAAGATTGACAGGATTCCCCATGCCCTCTGAATGCATCGTCAATCTTTCTATCAGCAACTAGCCGTTACATCTATTGAAGTATTTCATTAAGACTGAAATCATTAAAAAAGGTATGTCTGGGGAGAATTCCTCCACATACCGCTAATCTGTAGGCACAACTCTTTTTATCAGAGCAACTTTGAAACGATCCTGAAGTTTTGAAGAGGGATCGGAGACGATCTCACACCTATCCTCGATAATATTTTCAGGAAGCCTCACAATACCTAATTTAGACTTCATTTAATGCCAATGAATAAGACAGAGGATGAGACACGTTTCCACTTGAGTGAACCTTGTGTGCTACATGGAGTGTGGCGACTTGAACTGCCGCACATATGTGCAAAGTTCTATTTGCAATTAAACCAACCAGCTCAGAGAACACTTTTAATTGCAAATCATCCACCTGAGCTACAAATCTTCTCTATTATTGCAAAGTTCTATGTCGAAAACCGACCGACCGACCGACTTAAGTGAACCCTGAAAAAGGTTGGTGTGTGCAGAAGGTATTGTGGTAACTACAACCTGTACAAGAAAGTCGTTATCAGCATTCAGTGTGGTAAGTTATGATGAGAACATACATTAAAATATAACAATTATAAAATTACCCAAGTACTAATACAAATGAGAATATGGGAACAATCTACTGTGCGAAAGCATGGCAAACTTCACGCAATAAATAACTGAAAGTGTGGATAAACCGAATTGCACGTATGGTACGGATTCATCGATTGTAAATGGCAGGTTGTGTGATCAACATTTTGCACTATACAAACCTTGGAAGAAAGAATGTAATAATGTCACATCAAGCCTGGCCTTTACTAGAAAGCAAATAATTTCTGCAGTTGCTTCGTACTTCACTGAAATAAAGTGATTCCGTGGAAGTTGGATGGCCAGTGTCTGATACACATATACACAGAACACGCATATCCTAAGATGGAAATTTCCACTTTATATGAAAACACTCACTGACTCACGTTCAATCATCGTAACATTTGTATTTCACAGAAAATTATTTATCATACTCATTATAATTATCTAAATTCCAGTAATACACAAACCATAAACAAACCATTGGGTGATACGCTGATTTGGTTGGATGATATTTTTCTCATCACATGTCAAATGAGTTCAAAATCCAATTCACAATTAGTATAAAACTTGATGAGATTCGAGTGAGAAATATACTGCTGAGAAACAAAACGTAATCATGATCTGTTATTCTGCGTTGCTCGTGGTTGTGTTGCTCCTCAGTAATGCTAGTCAGCGAACTGTGGCTATTGTCCCAAAACCAACAGTTTACAACAAAGATTCAACAGCCTGCAACCTGGTGCACACACTCACCTACGAACACAACTACCCAACATGCTTCATACTCATAGACGCACTGACAAGATTTCAACTTCGTCTAGCATCACAGCACCCACCAATTCCTCAGAAAAGCAAAGACAAATGTATCATAAACAAACTGAAAATTGAAATCATGGATGGATGTGACGAAAATGCAGATAAACTGTGGCCGAGTCATATAATGAACGAATCATGTGAGTCACAACACAAGAAGTATTTCATTCACCACTTTGCAGATAACGTGAACATTGAAGATACAGAAATCTCGATAAGTTCCAAAGAGGTTTGGGGTGCACTACGTGCCCTTGAAACTGTACTTCAGATGGTGTACAAGGATGAATTTGAAGGAGTGAGTTTTGTTCTTGTTGGTAACTTGACTTCATCAATATATTTCATCTAGAATATGATATTTAAGGGTTCTGTGGAAGATGAACCATTATTCTCACATCGTGGAATGCTCTTAGATACCGGAAGGAACTTCTTGCCAGTTGAAACCCTACGAAAGACAATAGTAGGAAATGTGATATTCAGCATAGAATTTTCTGTTTTCAGGATATCATGGCTATGGTTAAAATGAATGTCTTTCATTGGCACATCACAGATGACGAATCTTTTCCCTTTGTCTCAACCACCTATCCAGAACTGTCAGACAAGGTAAGTTGAGTCGATTTTAAGGCGTTTATTAATCCTTATTCTCGTTTCAATATCAACAGGGTGCATATCATCCACAAAAGTGTACATATGATGAAATAGAGGTGTCTGATTTGTTGGAATACGCTCGTCTCCGTGGAGTCCGGATCATTCCAGAATTTGATACTCCAGGTAAATATGTTTGAAGACATTTGGTATCCACCAACTGTGTCCACATGAAATAATATTATGTAAATATTTGAGTTAGTGTGATAGTGTTCTCGAAATAATGTCGCAAATGCAACATAGATCCATGAGTTAGGCTGAGGCACTAGGTTTGAAACTGTAATGCGGATTGTTCATGATATTCTATTTTCAGGTATATTAAGTCAGTGAGGTGATGAAGCGCATTAGTGCTGAGTTGCATGAGAGTTTCTTATTTGACGAAAACCTTTACCGTGTCTCTGTGGAGACTACAGTTTTATTCGAATCATTGCGGGTTTATGTTTCCATTTATTCTTTTTCAGTCCCGTCACATAAATGAAAAATACTTGATGAAGAATAACTTGAATATCATTATTTGAAGTGTCAGTAGGACTTTCAAGTGCTTGATCACTGTATTTTAAGTCGCAGTGATTTTCGTTGAGTAAAGCCTTGCAGTTCTTGTATAATCACGAGAAACGAAATAACATTCGATTTCAAATGGTGAGTTTTATGGAGTGTTGACTGATGAACAGCCACGCCATTATTTCTCTAAATAACATTTTCCTCCTAAAAGTTGTCAAAGTTATCTTTGCTGGTTTTCACAATACTTCCTTGCAGCGCATACATTGTCCTGGGGAAAAGCATATCCAGACTTACTAGCAAAATGCTATCATGACTCTAAGCCGACTGGACGATTTGGTCCAATGAATCCAGCCAATGATTCTACATTCGAGTTTTTGAAGAATCTGTTTACAGAAGTCACCAGCCAATTTTATGATAATTATATTCATCTTGGAGGCAATGAGATCAATATTGCCTGTTGGTGAGTTTACTCATATTTTATAATACATTTCATAGAGGAGACACGCTAAGATATCCCGAAATTCTCAAAGAATTCTGACGGAAAACATTTTCTTGTTTCAGATTAATGCAGGTTGAATTCGTCTCATCTAGCACATTTTATCACTACTTAAACGTTATTTTGTTTGAATCTCAGCCAAGTTGAAATGAGTGATTCTTGTGTTTTGTTCGTCGGACACTTCCAAACCTCTTGAGGAAAATAGTTGAAATTAAATAATAAAGGTATATATAAAGCGAACAGTTTGTCTGTACAACTCTTGTCCAGTCATCTCTGAATCGTGATAAGTCATCAGAAGCAATATTGTATGCATTGTGATTCACATTTGACAGAATAATTCTCATGCCTTATTATTAGCCTGAATGTGTTATACACCGTGAGCAGTGTATGCAGGGTTTTGTATCAGCCTACAATAAAAATGTTTAAATAAAGGTCACAGTGAACTGGTGTGAAGTAAGGGAATCTGAACTAAACAATTTGCATGTGAATGTGTAAATAATTGTCGATCATTTGTCAGCATAATTCGAATAAAATGAAACGGCGTTAATGTTGGTGGCAATTGTGAGTCATTAATGTTTCATTTGTTTCAGTTACACATATCCCTAATGAAAGCACCAGGTTCTTCAATAAAACATCAATAAGACGTCACACGAGTTACTACTTTCTAATCAAACATAAACATATTTTATCTTATAAGATACACATAAATAGGATGATAAATTAGGCATGAAGATGGGTGATTCATATCTATACTACTTATTGATCAAGACCTGTCATGCATCAACGAAGATGTGACGGTATCATTTTAAATAACTTATTGATATGATATACTTCCATCTATCATCATGCACAAACTGTGGCGTATTTCATTCGTGTTGATCGCATAAGATACAACTGAACTGAAGAAGAGAATTATGCCGCATTATTTGTTTGCTGAATGTCTTACACGATTTCACTAGGAGGATGTCACTTCACTTTCAGACACTAGCACGGCTTACTTGAACTAGTTCATTTCCATGATTCTAGTTTCATAGATCTCACAGAAGTTGAAACTAAGTCGGATGTTGCATTGTGTCTTTCCTCCAATCTTTCTTGGTCTTTTTATATAAAGTTAGTTTGTAGAAAGATATTTCGTTCAACGATCTACGTGACGAAGTTGAGACAGTCTGAAACTACTAAGTCCTTACTTTCAAATTTTGATAATTTTTGCTTCCTGACTACAATTCCTTGTTGCTCCCCCTAAATATCTCCTGGGCTACTTAAGGAAGACTATGTCACACTATGATGAGCACCAAATGTTGTCAGTAAAGCGAGTGGGGTGTCACTCAACGAACGTGTTAGTACTGTGGCAGATCGACGCATGGACTCATGCAAGAAATTAGCGAATATTATCTTGTCGAACCCTGAGTATCCTCACTATACAGAACTCTCCACTTGTATGCCATCAGGTGGCACTGGAAGCAACAATAGAAGACTTCATGCTCGAACGACTTAGCATAAAAACTCCACAATACCTTATTCCACACACGCATTTTATGAGAGAAGTGTAACCTATGTCACTACTAGTTTACTGAGAAACATTAAGTAAGTAAACGGCACCACTAGTCGTTTCCATCATTAATATTTTGTTTTTAAAGTTTCTACTTCAATCTTAATTGTGTGTTTTCTATTCTTTTGAACAATATTACCAAAATGAATACCCTGTTCAATTATTTCTACTTGCACTATTTAAATAGAGAATTACATATACTGCATGCTGGGAATTTCACACTGTATCAGAATTGCTGTTTGACATTAAGCCATTATTACTATTATTGTTATCATGAACTATAGTTGATGGCTTTTCATAGTACAGGATGATTTCCTTAGCTCACTGTCAACACTTTCACGAAACACTGAGTATTTCTGTACTCATCGATTTTATACTCCTCCTTCCGATGAGTGAAACGAAAAAGCCTCAACTGGAGTTTCTGTATAACACGTGTTTCACTCATACAGTCACAAATATGAAGTGAAGAAATGGTACATCTGTAGGTGATTCTACTCAAGCTATAGGGTCTTGACAAAATAGTGTGCTATGCCCTCTTGGAGGTGGTTAGCGGTTAGAGAGATTGAAAGAATGAGACAGTTAACCGGGTAGGAATGACGTCTTCTTTATGATTTATAAGGCGTTCTTTATCTACCGGATGATGAAGGCCCTTCCATGTATCCGACTAGGGTTCTCCGCTTCATCTGCCCACTGCCGTTCTTTCGAAAATAAACGTTAAAATAAAGAATTCGTTTCCTGCAATAATGCAAGCTATTAGTCAGTGATTTGGATAACTATTTTGGTAGAAAATTCGGTTTCTAAATATCACTGACGAAGAACGTGGCAAGATTAAACTTACTGTGTTTCTCCATAGTAGATAACATTTTATTTTAATAAATCACACAGGGCAATACAATAATATTGGCCGATGATGTTTGGAGCACAAACTATTGCTCATAATCATATCAAGTCACTCACACAACTTTCTGTTCTTTCCTTTAGGTTTGGGAATCCAGAAATAATTGAATTCATGCAAAAAATGGAAATCCCTCACAAATGGACCCAATTGGTTGACTATTATGTGTCGAAAATTGTCGAAACTGTCAAAAGTGTTACTGACCGAAATCCTCCGATTATACCTATTTTATGTCAAGATGTTTTAGAATACGGATATCAGGTCAGTGTTGGGAGATTCGTTTAGCAGTAAATATTTCATCTACACGAACAACACTATCAGATGTGTTTATTTCGCAAGGTGTGTTGTGGTTCAGTAAATGGTTATTGTTCATAAGCCTTTAAGAGCATTAACATAACTTTATAGCTTTGTTTGTTCACGGTGATTCTTTCTCATATCATGATCCCTATGATGGAAATATTTCTCATATTCCTGTTTTGGTGTTGCATTATATCGATTGGACTTCTCCGGTGTCGTTGAGTTTCATGAATAGCCATTGGATGTCAGCTGTGAGTTGTTATCTGGTCTTCTGGTTCATCAGCCACTCATTTACCTTTGAATAGACACAGGTTGATTGTTAGGCTGGAAACCTCACTCTTCAAAAATTAAGTCATCGCTACTATAACTTTGATTTACAGAAAAATATGAAAAATAAACTCATTCCTTGGTGGAATGTAGAAGACGATTTCTAGGATGAACTGCGTCTGTGGGAGGAAGCCTTCACTAGGCCGCTCAACCGAAGTGTCACCTTTCAAGGTTAATCATGAGGACACGAAGTGTTCTCACCCTGTCTGAGGTTGCTCAGAACACAGACTAAACGAAATGTGTTATGACACTGTTAGGAATCTGTGAACACAAGTGAAACGGAAGTGAAATTTCTAAATTCACAGCTGTAGAATTAGTAATCTAGTCAAATCACTCAGATGAGGACAGAAAGTTAGCTGAGAGTGTGTTTATCATAATATTACCGAAAACATAGAATTCGTTCATGAGCTGAACACTGATCTCACGAAAGAATGTGACTGCAAGATTCAAATCAAAAAGAATGGAAATTGCAGTTATACAGTCCTGTATACCTAAAACCAACACAGAAGGAGGACGTCTTTAGACACGTGGAGACAGTAACGGACGAGAACCCATCCAGAATTCCAGTTGGCAACACAAATGTCTTCATCTAGATTGGCGATTATGCTACAATCCTGGTTATTAGAAATCAGTCAGCGCTAACCCCAACAACCAGACGTAAGACATTGGTTACTCCGAAGTGACTAAACTATCTATGACATGCTTTCTCTGGAAATTCGAAGATCCTAGAGGTAAAAATAGAACAGCAGAGAGTTAGTTGTCGGAAAAAGGGCCAACTCTGCATTTTTCCATTAAAGATAGACAAACACCTAACAACTCCTCAAAGATAGGCTTTAGGCATCTCAGATAGTTAAGAAATCTCTCCTTATAATTGCCGTTTAGTCGAAACCTCCCATCCTTAGAATAAGATTCCTCTCACTTTCTAGATTACCGTCTGATCGTACATTTCTCTTATTAAAAGATATTTGTATTCGTTCAACAAACAACCAGTAATTGTAGGAATGTTTGGTTCCGTCTATTAGCGTGAAGAAAACACAGTCATTCATGTTTGGAAAACCAAAACCTGGAAAGGATATACTAGAAAGGCTACTGGGAAAAGATTCAACGTCATAGTTTCTGGTGATTGGGATTTAAGTGATTTACATAACGAATATGATTGGATAAAATACTACGAACAAGATATCAGAGAATTTGGAGGTCAGTTGATTTACCGTATCATTAAGTAAAGCTATGTGTTGACATTATCTATTGGATTTGATTAATTTCGAGCTTATCTGTCATCTAACAATGTAAATTGATCGGTTGTTTGAAATTGCACAGTATGAGATAATATAAATAACAACTAAGGATTCTTACGTTTAAGAATTCATAAATAGTAGAGAGAATAAGTAGGTCAGTTGGATGCTTTTTCATTGTTGTTGCAATATGTGAGCTGGGTTGTTGAATTGCAGATTCAGTAACACTGGGAAGCACATCCTCAAAAGCAATGGTTCAGTAATGAATCTAGATCTGATGGAGTATGCATGCGCCTCGATGATGAATATGTCGCAAATGTGAACTCAGATTTCTACCTCACAAATGTGTACCTGAGAAGGAGTGCTTGAAACTGAGTATGATGAAAAGATAGATGGTCTGAATTTCATGGCACCAGAATCAAAATAATCCTGAATAACTGCCACTTGGTAACTACGTGCCTATCGGCAGCTGGCGTAATTTCAACCAGCACTTGACGTTAAAGAAGAGCGATTGATGAATTATTTTATGTTGGCGTCAGTATTAGGACTGACGATTAGTCAGCTTGACACGAGAATTGGTTCGTCAATTACTTCTGATCGTCAGAACCCACGTAAATGAAGACGGAAGGATAAGACACTCTGCACCAACAATTCGCCTGCATTATTCATTAATACATCATTTGTCAATACCACGTACCCCGGAGGGATATGTTGAGAAATAAGCAAGTAAATCTGTTTCATGAGGTTGCTCTTCCAGATTGTTTGATTGCATTATCATCATTATCCTGACAGGGACTGTGTGGTTTGATTTATCCATTCCGGTTTGGTTGCTGTGTGCCTATTTGAGATCGATTTAGATGTTACATACACATTAGGCATGGAATGTACTTAGAAGGCGGCGTTTCTTCTATTCTTGTGAGTCCAATCCAACTTTTTCATGACAGTTTCATATGGCTTTAGTTTCTTCCACCTTCGACACAAATCTCATATAATCTGATACAGACCGATCACATCTACTAATAGGACATTTCATGCGGTAGAAGAATTGATCGGTTACTCAGCTAGACTAGTGCTGTGGAAATTTGAAAACCATCACAGTTCTAACCTTGTGATCTGCTGCACATGCCACAGCGTCTATTTAATTTCGAAAGTGACGACTGAGAGTTGCGATGAAATCATTCGTTGGACTATAAAACCTGTAGTTGTTGCAGCCTCAACATGAATTTGTGAACGAATGTGGATGCAAACTTCATCTTGATCTCGCTTCCATATACTGTTTGGACGATGGGTTGATATAACGTCATGCTTAGAATAGAGATAAAGTGGTGTGTATTGGAGTTGGAGCAAAGATAAGGGATGGAGCGTTTCATTATTGTTTGTATTTTCCTTGCAAATGAATATGTAATGGAGGAGAGTGTTTCCTTGTTCATACAGATGAAACTGAGATATCCAGGAATAAAATTTCACCCGACGGTCTCGTCAGAGTGGGCTGTGTCAATGTTCTTTTCTCACAAATATTTTGTTGCGCAATGAATTCTTGATTGGTTCGTCCCCAGAATTGCTCGTTGCGCATCGTATGTTTCTCATCCATATATAAGAAGTGACTGACTTGACAGTTTTTTTGAAAATCAGAATTTTGTTCCTTATGCTGAGTACATCGGACTTCTAAACAGATTTCAGAGTGATGAAGTTCTGTCTTGCCATTACGACGTTTCAAATATAGTGCAGACCTAATTAGTTATTTAATTAGCGATTTCTAAATCAAAACTCAGTGTCTAAATTTATCAGTAGTGCAGACTCCACTCATTCAGAAGACAACGACACATCAAATCCTAACATATAAAACCATCTGAATTGCAAATATTTCGTTATCTAGTGAACCTGGCATATTTGCATATTTGCAAATTACACTAATCGTCACTCAGTCCATTAACTTCGTGCGATGATAATAATAATTGTCATGTCTTATACAGGCTCAGACGAGGAGGCATCATTAGTCATTGGTGGTGAAGCTACACTGTGGGGTACACATGTGGATGAGACCAATGTGATCACTCTAGCATGGTAAGTACCGTTTGTATGTCCCACATTGTACTTCTGGTGCTATCAGCTTTTGACCACATAATAAAATGGTTTGAGTTGTGTTGGGTGGAAATGAAACAAGTGTATATGGGGATTTTCGGAGTCGAAAAGACAACTAAGTGAAAATGTCGCTTGAAGCAGAAAATGACAAAGTAGCTAGGATATAAGAATTCAATAACATCCCTTCAGGTTCAGATGAAACAGGATGGACAGATCGATGCGACTGCATTGTTAGCCAATCATCAAACAAACATCATAAATTCCGTACACTGACTTCCTTTTATTAATTTGAACAAAGAAAGAACAAACATTGCCACAGAATAATCTGGATCTATTTTATTTCGTCGATTCTCATCAGCTACTTACAACATGAATTCTTTAATAAAATAAAAAGGTGTACAATTTTAACAAATTTTTGTCCATTAGCATGGATACCCCAGAGCGTCATAGTGAAATAAGGCGTTGCGAATTACAAGGTGTCTAAAGTGTTACGACATGCATATATCGTGTTAGAGAGAAGTTTCTTGAAAAAAAATTAATTAACGGTTGTGTTCTAGGGGTGGTAACAAAAGAAAATTAGTAGTAGTTACGTATTTAGATAAGAGAAGAACAAAATTTAGGTGCACATTAGTTCAGATGAGAAGTTGATGATGCAATACAGGGAGCAGAACTCAGAAGATCAAGAAAGCATATCACTTAAGAGAGTCAAGCGAAAAATAAAGTGTTGAAATTCAAGTAAAGACCACTCCATGTGTCCTTACGATATACAGATATTTCGAGTGTCCCGTCGTATTTTCTCTCTAACTTTACTTAAAAAAAAGGAATACTTCATCATTTCCATCATGGAAGTGATGCTTTTGTGTACATTGTCGAAAGAGTTTAATAGAGACGAAGCGTGACTCAAATCATCGCATACAATGAATGTGTCATCAACGTATCTATAGTAGGCTGTTGTTTTGTCAATTGCACATTTGAGCTTTGTCTATTCCAGACTGGCCAAAATAATATCCGCTAATATTAGACCCAGTTGACTCCCCATTGCCATTGCGTCAACCTGGCGATACATTTTGTTGTCAAACTGGAATTGTATATCCTTAGTACATAACACGAGAAGCTGCTTAAATTCCAGTTTTGGTAGAGGAAGAAGATCAGAGTGTTGACAGACGATGTCTAATGTCTCATGCAGAGGGATCTGAGTGAATAGAGAAGTCACATCGAAGAGGACCATGATTTTGTCATGTACGCTGAGCTGATTCATGTCTTCTACAAATTGGAACGAGTCTTTTAGAGTATGTTTAGCTAGACGTTGTCTGACAGGTTCTAACCGATCGGCTAACAGGCGAGTATCTTTATGGGAAGGTGAATTCACCATTGAGCATCGGTCTCATTAGGCAATTCCTTTTATGTATCTTTGTTAGAGCATACAAATATGGTAGACGCGACCCTGTGGGTTTTAACTCATTGTAAGTATGACTGTCAATCATTTACTTTTTCAATAGCTCGCTGAGTAATTTTGTGACTTTCTTTTCTGCCGCATTCGTCATATCCATCTTGAAGTTATCAATCTTACATTTCGACGTGTCATTCTGAAAGGATTCTATTTTTTCAATGTTAACCGCTGAGGATGGAGCTGACGGTCCTACTGACTTCGATATCAAATGATCATTACTGAATTTCCAGGCTGAGTTGACGCTGGCCTCTCTTAGACTTACATCGCTTCATCAGCGAATGGCGTAGCTGATCAGTGACTCAGTGATACGCCTTCGAATATGCTACGAAGGCGAGTCTCAGGCGAGAAATGATGAAGGGAGATATCCAGTTTATGATAGACCGATTTTCGAAGAGCCTGACGAAAACGTTTAGTGTGACGATATTTGTTTTGCTTTATTTACTACAACGAAGTATCATCTCTCATATCTGTGACATACATATGCAGGCCCAGAGGTGCTGCTGTAGCTGAGAGATTATGGTCACAAACACCTGATACGAATGAAGAATTCTCACAACGAATCGGTGAACTTCGATGCAGAATGCTCTAGTGAGTCCTTGTATTCTTATATTCATGTGTAATCCCTTGAAGCCGATAGTAGTAAATAGACATAACATGTATATTCTGAAGTTCTACTACAATATGTTTGTGTCATGGCTTGTTATCCGAAATACTCACTGCTAGATTTATCCACTTTCTTCACTGTTGAGTCCCAGTTTTCATCGTCTCTTGACACCGTGGAAAAGTATGTGACGTCCACTTTGTTCCCAACGGAGAATCTGATGTTAGTTAATTTTTGTTGCATATACTATTGGCACAAGCACAGAAATTAGAAGATTTATCCAGCCGCGTTTATTTTAATGTTGCATGGTTAAGTCGAATGCCAAATTTCAAAATTTGTTACATGAGTTCATTGGAAAGTGAAGTTCACCAAACGATTCTACGTCCTTGGATGTATTGAACATCTTAGAGCTCTTCACTGCACATGATGAATGTTTTTAAGGTGCTAGTGAAGGCTGCAATTTAACACCAATGATTCATTTGATGGTTGCACGTCTGTTAATGTCAGCAAATCGCCTAACTGGATAAATAACAATTTGAAGGCAAAACAAACAGTTAAGCAGACAGCCTCTTTTCGGTGAATTCATTCCCTCGGTTAGCTGTACAGTTGATCTTATATACATTTATTCTCATTAGATGGTATTAGCAAGAAAGATGAGTTGTCACAAAAATAGTTGTAGACATTAGTCAGTGCATATGAGGAGTTGAGTATGTATGTCGGAGTTACGTATTAACTTAGATAATTTGATCAAGATTCACATAGAAAGGAAGGAAAACACTGAGTTACGTAAGAGTCACAAAGATATACGAGAGTTATACTGGGTGAGAGAAACAAACAAACCATATTCAAGTGTTGGTTCGTAGGGATTTGATTGGTTACAGAATATTCATCATGAGCTGAGATTAGTTGGAGAAGCATTGGAAAACCTGGGAGTACTGGACAGCTGTGTCGTCCTAGTTCGGGACTCTTCAGCAGAACGCACCCACCGAGATTCGAACGCAGCACCTTCTGGTTACAATGCTAGCTCGTATACCATTAAGCCACTGGGACCCGATCCAATGGCCCATGAATTCTAACTTCTGCCAATTCACGACATAGCGCGAACCCTAGCCAATGTCTTCGGTGAGTATTTGTCCTCACACCTGACCTGCAGCACCCTACTGGTCACGACTTCTCACTAGAACCCCAGGTAACTACCTACCTGAATAGGGTAAGTCACTAGTGAGCATCTCATTGATATTCAAGTGTTGGTTTGTAAGCTGATAATGAATATACTGTAACCAATCAAATCCCAAACTAGGACGAAACAGCTGTCCAGTACTCCCAGGTTTTCCAATGGTTCTGTAAGTAATGTCAGCTCATGATGAATATCCTGTAAACAAACCATAATAAAGTGAGAAGAAATCAACACGGTTGTTGCCATGATATTATATATGATTGAATAACTTCCTTTTGTACACATATCTCTGGTTTCCCTTAATGATTCGTGAAGGCTTCAGCAATGCAAAAGAGAAGACAGGGTATTTTTTTTATATTTTTTTTTATTTACAGCTTGATTCCACACCGTATTTTCAGTACAAGTGTGGAATTTTCTGCACAGATATCGGTAGCCCAAATTCAGGCCGACCATAGATATCGGGTGTGCGCCGACAGGGGATCGAACCCCGGAACATGTGCATGGTCGGCGAGAGTCCTAACCACTGTGCCACCGACGCACGTTGTTCTTCACTTCACGGAGTACTTTCAGGTAAGCGCTTGTTGAGATGGAACGGCCGGTGGTCGATAGATGTTCGATTATTGTACTCCTCAAGGGAAAACTATTACATATACGCAGCCATGAGCAGGATTGCGTTTATGAACTTTTCCAGGCAGAATATGCATCGAACTGTTAATGTATCTGGCTCCAAAAGAGTAGGTGAACTGATATATGCACACACAACATAACAATTTAACGACGAGCATAGGAATTTTTATACACATTATCGCTGTCTACCAATACTAGTTATTCGATGTGTGAAATAACAAAGCTGATTGTAAATTACTCTGCACTTCTTTCACGATTTATTTCAGTAACAACATAGAAGCTCATCCAGTCAATGGTCCAGGTTTCTGCCTAACTAAATTTTCGAGAACATGAACAAACTGGAGAAAGTGAATGAAGATTGCTACTTACTTTTTTGTGTATCAGAGTTTTATTGATTTCTATTTTATTAAAATGAAATTTCTAAATATTTTTATTATCCACTGAAACACACTCATTTGAAAGAAGTAACTTTTGGCTGTTTGAGTGTGTACAGCCTTTGCGAGTTTGCTTTTGACATTCAAATGAACCTGAGCGCAGCACAGCATTTGTTAGTCGGCGATGTCTGAACGCTTATCATCGGTCAATGTATTCCATGTCTAACCCTCAGCTTCACTGTCACATCTTCATTTGGTTTCCATCATCAGTTCCAGTTAGTTCAACTACGAACAAAATGCCTTTATTTTTCCTCCTGTGTTCTTATCCACGTAATTATTCAATGCTCAAGTGATCACCCATCGTCTAACTACTATTTGAGGAAATGGCGTTGGATACTAGTTGAAGCCATCTTCAAGGCATATTAAAGCTCTAGTGTGTGCATACCTGCTACTAAGTTGCTTTTGCGATAACTCTTTTTGCGAATCATTAAATCCCATTCTTCTGGTTCCCCTTAACCTGAATTCCCTTTCCATTGTGGAGTACAAGTCCACTGTATACACCATAGAATATCGTTCAATAGAACACATTTTGAATAAACTTCACGTAAACATTTGAACTCGTAACAGGGTACAGTCCTGAGTGCTTAATTTTCGTAATCAATATAGTCAAATTGTGAGGAGGCATAAGAAGAAGAAGAATGTGGAACGATATGATTTTGTTAATGTGCCTCATTGTGATGACAGTTTCTACATACACTGGCAACGTACGACTCATCAAAGCTGAGTTTCTGACTGTGATTAACTACATCATGCAGCATACGCTGAGGTGTCGGAAGAGTAGAGCATACGTCTGACCGACTAAGAAGCCCTATCAAATCTGAAATTCTCAGAGAATTTAAACACCATTGCCCACAAACTCGAAGTATCAAGTCAAGACAGACACAACTTGGAGAGCAACCTTGAGGAGGGAGTGGCTACCTTTATTAATACCAAGTAGTTGACACCCAACCACGTATGTCTAAATCTTTCCACTGACAATATAGATCACATCATCAATAAGTGTCATCCAAAACATTCGAATAAATATTCTAGCCTGTACACAACAGATATTTATCCCTCACCGGACTGCAGTTGTTCAGATTTCCTACTATGCAGAATTCACTTCTCTCACCCTCTCAGCTTCTTTATACATAGTTTGTGTGGATTTCAATTATTGTGAACACATCTTGCCTAGATTAACCGATCAATAGAATACTGTCCTGATTACTGGTCGTCTAGTTCAAGCACCAGACTTCCTATTCATAAGTGATTTTACAACCTGCATAGTGTTGTAAGTGATTTGTTGCAGTCTGAAATTAGGGTGATTCGCAAGAACTTCATTCACCTAAATAACAAGACTACCTGCGTTTAGTCACCTGCTCATGCAGACTGATCATTCACATAGAAGTCATCTAAACAATGCATGGAGCTGTACCTTACGTATTGCTCCCATGAATTCAGTCAAACTTTTTACCGTATGATATTTGAAGAAGTGTGGCGGCAAGGCGTGAGTGAATGAAGAGTCAATTCATAATGAGGAGCTTTCACGTAGCATGATAGACTGCAGGCATTTACATTCCTTTTTAAAAGCTCTGCGTATAAAACATTTATTTTGTTGTCAGTGAGCTTCATTTGAAATACTCAGCAGCGGAATTCATAAAATACACAGTCATGCATTATTAATTGCTAATAACTTTCCGTCAACATTTCAGTAGTAATTATCATATGACAGCTGTCACACAATTTTCACAACCTGTTCATGTTCTACCGTCCTCTCTTGTCTTCGGATTTTACTGGTAGTACGATTTTCCCACGTATCGCATGAAGAAGCTGTGTTAATTGTATCGCATGTACTCGAAATATTAAATTCACTGAACAAAGATTCAGTGTTCATGTAAATATAATACTTCTTAAAAGTGTGCTACTAGCTCACCCCAATTTGTGTGCTTGGGCATTAGTGAGTGCGTTCTGATTAACAAGTTTCCCTCGGAATTATTAATTTTCATGGAGTCAGTGTATCTTCACACTTAGCTGAACTAACATCTCCCGATATCTAACATTAAGTCGATATGCTGGTCTCGTGTGTCTAATCATGATCTCTTGATATTTGTGTATCAGAAGATTCACTTCTATGCGTTGTCAGTGGACTTCCAAGTAAAAAAATTTGTGTTGAGTTAAAGCCACATTTATTCGTTATTCTTTCGCAAGTTACCATGAATCATATCATGAAGAACCTCGTGGTGGTTAGGACAGACTCCCTAATGACTTCAGTTAACACCTTCGTGAGTATTCGACTTACTCAGCTTCAAAGATAGTCAGCGGAAACTGTCTACATTCCCCACAATCCTGCTAATTCAGAAAGGTTCATAAGGTCTTTATCTGCTTAACTCACTGCATAGCAGTAAGAAGTGGTTTGCTTGATGTCATAGTGAACTTGTGCATAAAACAGCAGAAGCCTGATGAAAATAATTAAGAAGCCTATGCGTACTCAGTGTGTTCATTTAGAATTTGAGAACTAAAGGCACAATTCTCTTTCCAGTGAATTCTAGGCTTCATTGAGACTTGACCTAAATCATTTGAAATAACTAAATTTGAAACGATAGTTCTGAGAAAAATCGTGTGGAATCAATTATTAAACTGTGCTACTTTATTATTTATTGAAGTGACTATCCATGTACAAATGTCAAGTAGGCTGAACAAATGTGCTTCATTTCGAAAACAAACAGTCGTATTAGTTATTTTTCTACTGAAATATGTGAGTACTTTGAAACTAACATCAAAGAGACGGGGAGAGATAACAAGACGCACTTTTTATTCTGATTTATGTAGTTTTAGTTTAATCACAAAATAAATTGCACCATAATCTTTAGACTCACAGTTATATTCTCGTGTTAAATGAACAGTTTTGAGTGGTTATTTTTTATGAAAAGTATTTTGTTAGATTGTAATGGCACGTGTCAGAATGGTTAAATAATTAATGCCATGACTGCGTTTATATTCAAAATCATTTTCCTTCATATTCATTCCTGCTCAATAGTGATCGTCTTTTGAAAAAATTTTATTATTACCATTAGGTATAACCGAAGTCTACGAGGTCTTATTTAGTGTACAAAAACTTGGATGAGGTTTATAATGACAAAGTCATCCAGTTGGTTTCCTCCACCACTGTGTTGCCTACTGTAGCGTTATTGTCAATGACTTAGCGCAATTTAATTGAACCCGTTTATAAACTATCTTGAAAGGGTTATGTAAATTTCGAATAATCCTTAAAATAAGTTTCGAACATTACTGGAGTTCAGTAGCACCTCAGTAAAATATGAGTCCCTTCTTAGTTCTACAACTAGATGTATTCAAGAACATCGAATTCGTGCGTCAGTAACTTCAGAGTTCTTGTCGTATATAAAAAGATAGTCAAATTTCTAAAGAAATACAGAAACTGTGTCATATATTACATATCTTCTGAACTGAACTCGAATCGGTGTAAAAAAATACCACTAGAGGTGCAGATCTTAATCTGAATGATTGCTTGGTTTCACTGAAATTCATCGCGCAGTTTATGACACTCGAGTGTGTTGAAGAAGATGAAGAAAATATTCTCAGTCCTCGAAATGGATTGAATATTGGATATTGTGAGAAACTATTTTCTTGTTCACATGAACCAACTATTTTACACAAAGTCTTGCTATAGGGAAAACACAAAACAACTGTTGTATTGGATTATGTAACACCGATATATAAGCATTCTTTATGTGTTATATGAAACGTATTCGTGCAATAACAGTTTGGTGTGAATGCACACGTATACGGCACACAAAATTTCTCCTGTTCTGCCAGCGGGTCTTCATATTAGCTACACACACTCATATTCAGAATATGCTTTGTGCAAAAACAGACAAAGCCACATTCAGGAGTACCCCCTACTGGTACTAACAAGTCTCATAGTTTGAAGACACTCGATATGCAGATCACACACACACAAACCAATACGAAATCCTGATATAAAATTTCACCAATACCAGTCCACATTTCATTGAGTGGTGGTTCATCGAGGCAAAAACTCTCATGACTTTACTGTCCACGCCGTTTGTCCAGTCAGCCTGTTTTCAGTGATCTAATTTCCAATTGTCTCAAAGAAACTATGTCTTCGAGATTCACTGTCATTCTCCTTCAAACATTTAAACTAAGTGAATCTGAATAATCGGAAATGACTTAAGTTGAACATGCATGAATAACAAAGGCGAATGATATGAAATTAAGTCGATGAACAAAGGTTATATTAGTCATTCTCCTGAGCCTAAGATAGAAGATGATAACTAGAGATAGTTACATCCAACATTTCATTGACGAATACATCCCAGTCCTGTTTTCGCCAACATACTCCTAAGTGAACATTGCCTTGTGAATGAAGTCTTTCCTATACTTTTCTTGTGAGATGAGTGAAAACTCTCTCGGTTAATTTGTCGTACACTTTCAAGGAACACGAATAATTCTACTGTTAGAATCTGTCATGGTATGAAGTTGTGTTCTCCGAGCTGGATAGTTAATTTGCGAAGCTTTCATCACCCTGCTAGGTGACATCTTCAGCGCATACTTCAATTTGTTGAAGTGAGCTTTTAGATTTCTCCACGAGTTTATTAATCATCTCTCCTGGTAACCTTGGACGTGATTGGTTGTTTTTGTGTGTTTTCACACCTTCTAGGTTACTTGTATTGTCACTCATTGTTTCTTTGACTTGAACTTTGACCCTTTGTGTGTGACGTTTCTTTCGTTGGTATTAGATGGTTGGAGGCATATATGTATCATAGGTACGGAATAAGATAAAAAATTTAATCACGATGAACATAGAAATGAAGGAAAACACTGAGTTACGTAAGAGTCACAAAGACATACGAGAGTTATACAGAGATAGATAGATTAAAA